AATAGAGTCTTGCTACAAGCATTTCAAATAAAACTATGCATTAAATAAATAAATACATCTGTATAAATATTTTCAGAAAAGAGGAGACATATTGAAACACATTTGAATTCAAGAAAAGATCAACCGAACAGTGTAACAAAATTGCTTACAAACAATCGGCCCTATTATGGTTGTCGTGGTCGATGTCATTTTTTCATAAAAAAATGGGCCTCATATGACCAACTGAAACATATGAAAAAAATTGCATCAACCTCGACGTCGACAACCATAATAGGGCCGAATATTTTTATTTCAATTTGCATACAAGTATTATTTTAAGACTCAATAAAGAAACGGCAATAGAACGCCTACATTTTGGTATTTTGAGTGGAAAATGAACTGCTTAGGAAACCATAAGCGAAAAATTGATCTGATTTGCGCGCACGTTTACAAGTGGCAGGTACTGTACGTAGCCAATTTGAGCTTCACGTACAAAGAAAAATGTACAAATGAAATGAAGAGCAAAAGAGAACATAAACACAAAGTGGAGGAATAGAGAACAACTTAGCAAACATTAGTAATATGTAGACAGCATACAAAGGACATACATACATAAATAAATAACCGAGAACAAATAAAAATTGTTAATTGTAATCGAAAGGTGCAAAGGTGAATACGTAGAAAAAACGTACTGGTTGGAATCTTGCAATGGCGACAAATAGTTAGAATACAGAAAAGCATACTTAGATGTACGAAGAATTTTATTATTGACTGTTAAAACATGAATGATTGGATAAAGCAAAGTAAGAGAGAAATAGTGCAAATAAGAAATTAAGAAAGCATGTTCTTCTAATAAAAGGCATTGTTTGTATTTCATTATACATTATATAAAACGCAGTTAAAAATTTAAAATAAATATTCAAAAAAAAAAACATTTCCCATTTTTCTTAGTCATTAAGTTTTCGTAAGTTCAATGATAAAGTGTGGAAAAGGTCTTAAGGATTTTTATACTTCAATGCATAAAACACCAGAAAATTTGCAAATATTGTATAATTAAAAGAAATTTCAGAAATAAACATACATACATACATACATAAATTAGCGCGAGTAGTTTAAGTTTATTGCATAGGCAAAGTCAGAAGAATGATTAATGTTATTAACTTAAAGAAAATAATAAATTAATAAAAAAATATGACAACATACATACCTAAATAATTAAGATTTATGAAGTAATCAATAATTAAAAAAATATATATATATAGGTATTTGACAGCAGTAAAAGTACCAAATATATTACAGTAACAACTCTTACTTGATCCATGATTTATGCATATAAAATTAGACATCAATATACATACATACATATATTCAGTCTCTCGTATAAACCGATAATATACATACACATGCGTATATATACACACAATAAATTAGTGGATAAAAAGTATATATATACATACATACATATATTCTGATTATTATTGTAACGATGTCGGTGAAGATGATTTTTAAAGATCGCTCTTTATGATTATTATTATAAAAAAAAATATTAAACAAAAAACAACGTTTAGATTTATGTAAGTGTAAGTTGTATATAAAGAAGTACTAATGGAGAAATGCAATGTGAAAAACTGAAATAATGATTATTAAGACAAACTCATATACATACAATATATGAGATATATTAAAGGTGAAATATGAAATAAAAATATATATATTTAAAATATGTTCAAACAAATTACAGAAGACTCTTTCTTGATATGGTTAAAGGAGAGCAAGCTTACTGATTTAAATTTGATTTTATCTTGCCAGGTCCATCACAAGGGCGTTCCCTACAGACTACGCAATTTTTGTTAGAGCTGCCAAATGTAAGTAAAATTCGTTTTTGTATAGTTCCGGTCCGTGAAATCAGATTTCGTGAAGCTGTTAAATTGTCCCCTGTTGCCAGTCATTGTATCACTCTGATATAAGTTGATCAGAACAGTACTGATTTTTCAGCTCTTGTACTGAACTTTTACATTCCGTAAATAAGTACGCTAATATATTCAAAAAAATAATAGATCGTAGCAGCACAGAAAGTTGTGGAGAAGACGAATCCGAGCTCCCATTCGATGAAGACGGAATGAAATAACACAAACGGCAATAGCGCAAATTTGTGTTATTTCCCAATTGAATGTGAAATAACGCAAATTTGATTTATGTATTTCATTTTTCGTTGAGCAATAAGACCAACTTTTAAACTTAACAATTGAGTAATAAAGCAAAATAGTGCACAAAGGTAGTCAGTCACCCAATTATATTTGATAAAAAGTAGTACATGAACAAGTTAAATGGACGGATTTGTAGGTATGTATACAATTTTGAAAGTGCCCAGCGTCGCGGCGGTCCGCGTTCGCGCGCTCACAATTGCGTCCCCCGCCCCCTCCCCACCCACTGGTGGCATTATAAATGTTTAGAAAAAAAAAACAATAATAAAATGACACTAGTTCGAAAACCTGCGAAGTCCGTTCTGCCTTCAACATATCATATCAACATATCAAATTGCTGTTGATAGAAAAGATAGAGAGAACCTCTCTATGGGCAACGACAACAACACCGTCATGCGGTGATAGGTTTTGATTAACACGAAAATCCCAATCACTTGGGACCTTTTTTCACGGGAAACCACAACTTCAATTGTTACTATAGGCCAGAAGATCAAATTACGGCTTTTAGAAAATCGTGATTTTAATATATTTTTCGCAAAAATACTGTGGCCTGCGGAGCCGGTGTTAGGCCGACCAAAGCTATTATTTTTTTAAGCGCGTCCGAAGGGCGCCAACGAAAAAGATATATCGTGAATTGAAGAAATATATGATTTGGTCTTTTGATCTTCGATAACACCTGCAGCTTTCATTTTTCAATAGTTGCGTTCCAAATAAATTCGTATAAAAACTCAGTGGTTGCGCTACACAATCGATATTAATTTGCACCATCAGTGTAACAGCATGCATGTTTCTAGTGGCTAAAAATTACCGTCGGTTTTTTAGATTTTTTCGTAGCATTTGCTTGAATATAGCGAATAAACACAATTTACTTTTATGTGAAGAAAACCGCAGCACCTTCGGCGAAAAAATTCTAAAAAATCAACGATAATTTTTTGCCACTTGCAACTTGTTACTCTAAAATCGAATAGGGTCACTTTTAAGAAAAAATTTGAAATTTTTATGAAAATTTGATGAATTTTAAGTGTTCTACAAAATTTTAAGCTTACGTTTATGTGGTATTTGTTAGGGAATGAACTGTGTTTTAATTGAAAAATCATAAAAATGAATAAACATAAACGGCAAACAGTATCATTTTGAATTTGGTCCAAACTGTATGTATGTATAAATAATCAATGAGGTTGTTCACACTTGACTGGTTATCTGGTTAAAATTTTTTATTTAGTCTGTTCCAATAGCAGTTCGGTTTACAGGATTTAGTCAGAACTTACAGGAAGTCGTTCCTATTGGGCTATTTCACACTAGAATGACAGAACAATTATTCTCACGGTTTCACACTGGATGAAAATTAGCAGAATAAAATGAGTATACGTACAGAACGTTTGAATGCATTTGTAACTTCTTCGCTTGAAAGTTGCGTAGCGGTAACACCATGGCGTAGCGGCATTTTCGTAGTTGCGTATGTGTTAGTGCGCTGCAGCAGAACTACCACTTTAATGCGCGGTAGAAGCTGAAACAACTTTTTGAGAAACTTTACCTCACCGCACTGCCTCTCTTGCCTACAAACAGAGTTGTTCTGGTGGCAGAAATGTTCCAGTGTGAAACCCACCATTGACATAGAACCTGTAAGTGGGAACACTTTTGAGAGAGTAACTGAGCAACTATTCCTAGTCAGAAGTTACAGGATTCATTCCGGAGTTTTTTTTCCTGTAAGTTCATGAAAAGTGTCAAACGATCAGCTGATTTGCATGTGCAAACAAAAACAGAAAGCGGTGAAAGCAAAGAACCTTATATTTGTTAAAAAATGGAAGTAAACAACGAAATATTTGAATGAGAAGAGAAAGCTGAAAATATGTGCAAGTATATCGGCGAGCCCGTCTCTAGACGGTCTTGGTTTTTCTCCCCTGTAGGAAAAAGTTACTGTCACAGATCGAAATGGACATCAGTTTTGGATTTCTCGTGCTAAAACCACCCATTCCTGAATTTTTCAACTCATAAAAAAATTGGCTTACTAGAGGGTTAACAGGCTAACCTAACGAGGAGAAGCTCGGCCAAATACTAACATATGTGTAAGCGCCAATCAATTATTATTATTATTATTATTATTAACCTAATATTCACGCACGCCGCCAATTAACTGTCAAAAGTTTCTCATGCACATACAACTTGTATGTGGCCAACCGAAAATAAACGGCGTGCGTATGGAGCTAACTCAATTTCCAATTTTCCAATTTCCAATTTCATAAAGCTGACATTTTGTCTGAGGTACTTAAGCGGGTTTTACTGTACTTCCATTTTTTAACCCATGTAAGGTTCTTTGCTTTCACCGCGTTCTATTTTTGTTTACAAACGCAGCCCTGCATATCGTTTGACACTTTTCATAAACTCCATGAAAGGTTTTTACACGAACTTGCAGGAAGTTACAGGAAAAATGTTCCCGTGCTCCAAAATCCTGTAAATGAGAGCGATTTTTGGAGAGTTGTGTAGAGAATGAAGTGCAAGATTTTACACGAACTTTTTCTTCTGGTAAAATCATGAAAAGTGTCAAGCGATCGGCTGTTTGGCGTTCTTACAAAAAAAATGCTTTTTTGTTCCCCTTACTTTTTGTTTTGTTTGACATTTTTACAGGATGTTACACGAGAAATATTGGATCAAACCCATTATATGCTTTATTCCTATTGTTTACCTGTACTGAAACAAACCGACTTGTTTGTGCGACTTGTTAATTTATTTTTTTAATACAAATTACTTCGCAACACTGCTTCCGCACATCAGCTGTTCTGAGTAAATCGATACAACTACATATTTATCGATATACAAAACATTTGTATTTTGCAGTGATATGACAATTCTGTGAAAAACAACAAGAAAGTAAACGGCTTTGTGTATTAAAACGGGAATAACAAAAATAAACTTCTACACTAGTAGTCTTATCAATTGCTCCGTAAAATATCTGATTTGGGAAGCACAACAGCAATGAAAATACAAAGTAATTAGTAGCAGGCTGGCCTTCCAGAAATACGTACTTGCGGAACTATCGTTTCTCCAGGGATCGGAACCTTTATCACTTGCCTGAACAATGAGTTCCTTTTTCAAAAGCTTCAACAATTTTTCCAGTAAACGCGAAAACGCCATTAAAGAAGTGCTTATCAATACGCTTATTGAGAATTCACGTGAAATACAGTATGAGGTGAAGCAAAAAGGGTGTGGTATGTGCAAACACTAACGATAGCAATTGCGTAGCATGTATGTACAACATTTATTTACATATGTATATATTTTTTTCTGTTATAGATCGTTTGGAAGTGTGTGAAGCTACGAGCACGCTGTGCACTACTTTGGAGGCAATTTTTCTGCACGGTTTAAAGGATTCACTGCTCTGGAACACCTTTAATGTTATTGCTGGCGATGAAGAGCGGCGACCAGAGCCGAGTTTTTGGGCACCATTACTTATATTTTTGCACAAACAAGTGATAGAGCAGGTACAATATTTTCATGATTAATATTTTTCATTAAATTGTGATACTCATTTGCAATTTTGCAGGTTCAGACGCTTTCCCAAGTCACCAGTGAAATCGGCCAGTGTCGCGCCTGGATACGCCTATCTCTCAATGAATCTCTTTTTTCTGCTTATTTAAATAATATACGCAAGAGCAGTTCTGCGTTAGGTCCATATTATAAAAAATTTGCTTTGCTCAAAGATAGTGATGGTATGGAAATGGCTGCGAAGGCCATGGAGGGCATTGAAGCATTTGTTCAATTCAATCTGCCCGTAAATTCGAGTTTGCTCAATTATTGGCCAGATTATGCCTTACAATTATCAGGGCTATGGACACCACCACTGAAGTCGTGTCCGGTAAATAAACACGTATCTTTTAATAGTAGCAATATTTATTTTTAAACTCTTTTGTAGATAAGCAGTGGCGTTGACATCGCTGACACGCTAGCTGTCGAAGATGCAGAGGCTGCAGAAGCAATCGCAGCGCTACCAACACCCCAACCGATACGCACCAATGAAGCATTTACACAAATAATTGAGAATTTACCCAGTTTCCAGTCACCGACCCCCGCTGATATTGCTGCTCAACGTGAAAATGTCGACTTGCTACTAAAGGCGGTCGATGAGATGCAAATAATAAATGAAGAAAGTGCTGAAGCAGGAACAAGTAGTAATGGGGCTACCGCCGAAAATGTGCATAAAGACAATGAAAGTTCACAAAAGACCAGCAAATCGAAAAAGAAGCGTAAAAAGTCACGCGAACTCGCTGAGGCACGTATTCGTGAATACATAACTGGGGAATCAGACTATAGAACAGAGCCCCCTTCGCCTACAACGCCTGGCAATTCTCTGATGAGCCTAATGCATACATCATGGTCTGGAGATGAGGGTTCCGCGTCCGAATTGAACACACCAACTTTAGAGCGACCCCTTTATAGACGTGCTTCTAGCAACGCCAGCTCGCTTAGCTACAATACGCTGCTTGGTAAGCATGAACGCGAAAAGCTGCAAATACAAATAAAAAATAATGCATTGACGGTGGAGCGAACAATCGTGACGCATACAGATGCAGACGATGCAGCCCAACATAAATGTGATAACAATGGTAGCGATTCAAATGATAGTCGGGTAAGTTAAGCTATTCAATTATGTAATTCACAGCAATGATGATTTTGTATATGCAGTTGACGATAGACTTTGAGGTAGTACCCGACTCGAATTTAGATAAAATGAACGTCAGCGAAATACAAGAGATGCTAGAGCAGATGTATAAGTTGGCACGACAGCCTGGTCTGGATGCGCAAGGTTTTCTCTGCAAATCTTGTCAACATCCTTTAGGCATAGGTTACACAAACTTCCAGTGCGTTAAGATTAAATTTAAAATAAGTATTTATCTCTAATAGTATTTATACTCTGACAGAGTTTGCGGGTTCAGTGGCAATTACTTTTGTGACGCTTGCATGGACATGGAACAAATAATGATACCAGCAAAAATTATTTACAATTGGGATTTTCGAAAATACTCAGTATCAAAACGTGCAGCTCTTTTTTTGACGGAATTCCGCAATCAGCCAGTTATTGATTTAGAAGTTAGTGGTGACTGATTGCGATTCGACGTTTTTTCTTACACAAGTTTCTCTTTTGTAGCTCTTGAATCCAGACATTTACAACGCATCGGATGCCATGGCTGATCTGCAATCTTTACGCATACGTTTGAATTTTCTACGGGCTTACCTCTACACCTGTGAACCTAAGAGCATAGAACTACTGCAACAACAATTCTATGGGCGTGAATATCTCTATGAGCATATACATTTGTATTCCATAAGTGATTTGCATTTGATATTACGCGGCACACTATACCAGCAACTGCAAAAGGCATACAAAATAGGCGAATCGCATGTGCTGAAGTGTCCATTGTGCAGTGTAAAAGGATTTATTTGTGAGATTTGCAAAAGTTCACGTGTTCTTTATCCATTTCACATTGAAACAACATATCGGGTGAGCTCAATGCATTCAATTTTGTAATAAAATTTTAGCACTATTTCGGGTTAGTGTATTTTCTATCAAAGTTATTCCCTCAGTTTCGGAATACAAAAGTTGTTTACTACTGTTTTTTTTTTTAGTGCGAAGTCTGTGGTGCTGTTTTTCATGCGCACTGTCTAAACGATCAGCAGCCATGTCCAAAATGTGAGCGTAAGCGTAAGCGAGAGGAATTGGATTTGGAAGAAATGAATGATATAGAAAGCATGCGGAGTTTAGCTTCATCCACTACTATTGCCGCCAATGATGTGGGAGACAAATAAATGGAGACAAAGTGATTTCGAATAAACAATTTGTATTATTGTACATTACGTTAGCTTAAGTACAAAATTGTTATGCGTTTTTTTGTTGCCTTTAAAAGTCTGGAATGACTTTTAGTTTAGTTAAAAAAAGTTTGATGGCTTAAGAACTATTAATGCAAAGACGTATTCTATCAATCTTCGAACTAATGTAAAGTATACAAAATATTTAAATTAACTTATGTTCCGATTATTGAAAAAATCTGTCTTATTATTAAAGTAAATGAGCATCAATAACGCCATATAAATTGTAAAAGGACAAATATTCACATAATTTTTAGGTTAATTTCAGGTTTCACCACGTTGTTCCACATATAAACAAAATATTATGTACCATCCTAAAATTATGAAAACAAACATTAGCCAGAGAAGTGGCGAATCGATGACGGTTATTATATGCATAGATATTCCGCTTAAAAAGCACGCTTTGACGATTAAAACTTTACATTAAGTATTTACCAGGGTTGGCTCTCCTTTATGGCCGTTCGTTAAAGGGCGGTGGGCGAAAGGTAAGTGGGCGTGGCACCTCTAACCCACCTTTTTGGAGAGGGAATGAACCGCCATTGACAAAAATGCAACCCCCGACCACCTAGGTTCCCTATGGTTCCCTAGGGACCCCTTAGAAAAATTGCCAAAAATCACAATTTTCATTTGCGTTTATTAGCTTGAAAAATGTTAAATATTCATTTTCACAATACATTTTTATATATAAGACATTTTTATAAAACACCCAGTAACCAAAATAGACATCACTGGGGCGGCAGCCCCAGGTTTACCACACAGAAAGGGATGTCTAGTTACCTCGTCCTTTCCCAAGGTTACATCACGGGGGCGGTAGCCCCAGTTAGGTCACACAGAAAGGAGAATTCAACGTAGTAATGGTTATAATCCCTAAGCGCGGCCGAAGGCCGCCTACGCAGAAGGGAATTCTACGCAAAAATACTGTGGACGCAAGTAAAAATTGCGATTTTTGGCCATTTTTTAAGGGGTCCGTAGGGAACCATAGGGGGCCTAGGTGGTCGGGGGTTGCATTTTTGTCAATGGCGGTTTATGCCCTCTCCAAAAAGGTCGGTTGGAGGTGCCACGCCCACTCCCCCTTCGCCCACCGGACCTTTAACGAACGGCCATAATGGAAAGTTTCCCCATTTACCGGACACATGTATTTGGATATGCTATATAGTATATATATCTATCACTAATTATAATATGCAAATTTATTGAATAAAATAACTATACGTGTCGATATTTTCCCCGAACCGGTTCACTTTTCACTCTCGGTTTCCATGGTTTTACTCTGGGCGGATGACAAATTTTCGGGTGAATTTTTTTTCAGGCGAAACTCAGGATAAGGCAGATTGGTTATTACGACTTTGGTTACAATTTGGATTTTGTTGGATTAAACGCTTGCAAGTCCTTTTTCAGCAGCTCTAAAACATCCTCGGCGCAACCCCAAGCCAGTGTGACTCCACTGCCGCCGTGTCCATAATTGTGTATAGTGATTTGTTTGCCTTTTTATTGCATAAAATATGATTTTTCTACATACATATGTATATATAGCTCACAAATAATTACATACCTCGTTTTTCTGCCTCTAAACGCAACGTTTCACGTCCTGGTCGTAGACCCACCCAATCGTAAAGATATTGTGCATGCTCTAGCCCCGGTATAATTTTTCGACAGCCATCAACAATGAAGCTTTTATCATTTGGACATACTTTTGTGTTGTAATCATTTTCCTGATGGGTGCCACCCAAAACGACCGATTCGCAGCTAAAAAAAAAAATGCTGTAGTTTTTCTTAAATGAAGCCTTGGAGAGTTTAAAAGTTTATATTATAATTATGATGCTAATAAGTTTAGCGAAACGTTGGGCTGTAATAGTGGAATAAATTTGGTTTATTTGCACTAGAAGTAAATTGATCGGACTAGCCTGTCAAGAAAACTGCATGAGACATTTCCAAACCGTTATCAAATGTTCTCGAAATCAAGCAATCCTTCAAAATAGGATTATCGATTGTACGAAAGTTGGTATATCTGTTCTTATATTCAAAAAGATACATATGTATAAACCTTCATTTTCAGTTTAAATGAAACCATTTTCAAATTAAACGAAACCTTTTTCAGATTCAATAAAACTTTATTCAAATTAAATGAAACTTCATTTTAAGAATTTTTCATTTAATTTGAAAAAAGTTTCATTGAATCTGAAAAAGGTTTCATTTGATTTGAAAAAGATTTCGCTTTCTTTGAAAATGGTTTCATTTAATTTGAAAAAAGTTTAATTTAAACTGAAAATGCTATAAACTATACAAATCTTTATAAACTTTTAATGAATTCAAAATCCCAATATTTATTTTTTTAACTTAGATATATTGGAATAACCACATATTTCTACTCACTTTGGAATTATGTAATTGCCATCATCACTCTCATCCAACAGCACAAAATACAACCAGTTTGCCTTGACCCGTGTCACCTGTCCCCGCACCGGAAACATACCACCATCCCCACAACACAGTTGCGAACCCAAGCCAGTGCAGTTTATAATCGCATCGTAGTCGGATTTCGATATAAAATCCTCCAGATTTATGATTTTGCGTTGCACAAGATTGCCGCCATTTCGTTGAAAACGTTCCATTAAATAAGGCAATAACTTCATAGGCTCGGAAGTGTAGGTAACAAAGTGCTGGCCAGAGCTATAAAAAGTGCATATTTAAGAAAATTGATACAGAGTAGCATATACTAAAACGAAAATATAATTAAAATCGGATATCATTCAGGCTCACTTTTAAGTGGCAAGTTAAAAAGTTAAGTTTTTAAGTAGTATTTGCATACTGCAAACTGAAGACCTATTCCATTGTGCATACTTAAGTCTGCACGATGGCCTATTCTGATCTAAATCAATCAATAAACTGTTAGTTACATTTGACAATGTGTTTTACCTATTTGACCATAAATTCCATTGACTCTGGCATAATCACAAGCAGCCTTAACTCCCACCGCTTTCTTTTTTAACCTCGAAATTCCACCCTCAACGTCAACGAAGAATTTTTACTTTAAAATAAATGGGTTTTTAATGCTTGTTATACTTCTAATGAAATAAATTATAGCAATAGCATTAATTTAAAAATTTTAATATTTATGCAAAAAGAATTCATTAGCACTATGTATTTCCTCGGAATTAATGCATTGAAATTTTCATTTACATTAAATTTCAAAAGTTATTGCACTAATTTTTTACATTAGCATTAAAATGCTATGCATTAAAAATTAATGCATTTTTCACAACTCTTACCCTTTTCAGGTCAAAAAGGAAAAACATATTTGCTTTTGAAGCTCATTTAACCCTTCGTTATAAATCATGACCGAAATCGTCCATCGTAGAATTGTAATTTTTAGTAATAAGCGAAGGAAATATTAGGCGTGGGTTTTGAAAATGCGAAGAGTAATGGTCGATATTAGTTTCCTCGCGGACGAATAGATCCAATAGTATGGACGGTGTTACTTTTTGTGACCTTCGAGATAAGTGAAATATGTGTTTTTTTCGTAAAAGTTTTTTCGCCGCATTTAATAAATAAAAATAATCTGCAGTAAAAGCCTGAAATATAGATTAAACTTTTAAAATAGTATTATCTACTAGTAATGGTATGAATAAAAATTAAGCAGTTGCCTGTTAAAAAAGTTGCAGATCTTTTTCTAAAATTTATTTAAATAAACCGAGTAAAGGTCTGAAATTTTAAGAAAAAGCAGCTGCTTAGTTTTTATACACAAGACCCAATAATTTATTCTAATAATAAGAAATAATCAAATCTAAGAAACAAAAGTTTTATTAATAAAAAAAAACATCTTTTTTTTACGGTAAAATACCTCAATCATCAAAAATAAAATTTTCTGAGCATGTTTCCTTTTTACCTGAATGTAATGATTTTATTAAGAAAAATCTGTTCTTGTGTCCTTGGAAATAGATTCCGAAAATTTAAAATATATGTTTAAAAGATTCAGAAAAAGGAAAAAATTTTAAAACCTCTATTTGGAAGGTAATTTTAAGGCCCAAATAGTTTTTTATCAAACAAGACAATTTTTTTTCCTAATTATAGCTATACCTTTATTTCGCATTCGTTCTCTTTCTGGAGATTTTCGGTTTTAACACAATTTTCCACACTTTGTGTAGCTTTAGAAATTACGTATAAAGATGTTAACGGTAAATTTTTTTGTCGAAAGTTAGCTCTCAGATTACTACTAACTTCCGAAGATCCTTCATTTTTCAAGGTTTTTAATAAATTTTCTGCAAATAAAAAAGGTAGCTAATGTTCTTTCAAAATTTTTGCTGACTGATGGAATTTTTAAGACTGAGCTTCATACATCATTTCCCAAACTGTCACTACTGTTTTTTTGACTTACGTATACTTCTTTGATCTTCCTTTATTCAGCTCATCCAACTGCCTCGGTGTCAGCGATTGACAACCATAAACAATATCCTTCCAAAATACATCATTATCCATCGTGGTAGTCGTCAATCTAATGCAGGGTATAAGACAAACGCCTGCCTCACCAGCATCATCAGATAACCAGATTTGCTCTAGAAATTCATGCATACTCTTCGACCAGCGACTGCAATTAAAAAAGTACAAACTGTCTTTATAATAAGGACACTCAAGAAAGTTCACAAATGTATGTTTTCAAAGCATTTATCAGGTCAACGTTAATGTACGAGAAAAGCGCATTTAAACCGTAACACATGTTGAAATTGAGATTTAAAAAAAATTATGGATTAAATTATCTATTTGGCCACGAATCGAGTAATCAAGGCATTTTTTATTTTTTCCAAAAGTTGTGTTGACTTCTCGCTTTTTGATACGTTATGAAGTAATAAACGAGTTAAGGAGATTCGTTCCCGTTTCTGAGGTCAAAAGAATCTTGGAGATTTGTGGAGTAGTCCTATCTAAGATTAAGTAGTAGCGATCTAAGATTAATCTTTGGATGATTATAATTTTTACTGGGTTATAAGTTTTCTTATCTGCTTTATATATTTATTCATATCAATGTAAATACTCATATCTTCGTCTATGATTGCATACTCTCCACTCACTGTACTCTGTTGGTGGGGGTGCTACCGAGCAGATAAGGACCCCATAGGCCAGCTGAACCATCGCCGGTGGTATTAGGTGAAAATGCTTCTGAGATTACTGTTACCTCCGCTGGTGAACCACTTGACTTCAAATACTCCAAAATCTTTATGGCGCTACAAATGCCGTTTATACCGCCACCAATAACGGCCACACGCATTTTTTGTTTTTAAAGCTGTTTTTAAAATCTAAGGTGTTTACTACAAAGAGGATTTCGAACAACTGAATCGTTGGACTATAATGCAAACTTTTGCATTCAATTAAGTAAACATACACATAAGTAAACTGTATTAAAATGCAACAACAAAACTGATTGCTTATCAGTGAGTGCTTGAAGAAAAATTACACTGTGCAACAGAGAAAATACTACCGAAACATAACATATTGCGTGTTGTAGGTGGAATCGAATACAATATGAAAATAGGTTTCCTGTAGTCCCTGATTCCTAAAAAGTTGTTTCATTAAGACAGTTATATTCGTACTTGATGCACTACCTATTTATTACTTGACTTTTTTTTTGTTTGGGAAAGGGAATATATAGGCTTTTAAAAATGATGTAGTTAAATAAGCAAAATCTTAGATTTTTGGGAGTTTTCATCGGGTAATCCTAAACAACCAAATTTTAGTTAATTATTGCAACTTTGGCAATCGTTTATTGTCAATGAAAGTTGTCGTCATAACATCACAAATGGTTTTGGGGAATGTTGCTAAAATGACCGTCCTTGGCCAGATAATATATGTCAACCTGTATTTTTTTCGTAGACCCTACGAAAGTTTGTGCTGCCTTGCCGGAAACCTGGTTTGGTCTCGAACGGAGCAAAGAAATTGTTCCCAACTTGGACGGAGCTAAAAGCTATACTTAACGTTGCTCTATATAACCGTATAAGCATTTGCGAGCTAACTGGATTGCCTTATCGTCTTCAACCAACAGTCTTTTAAAGCATAAGCAGACGGCGGCGTTGATCCGGATCAACTCCGGAATTAACTGCAGTTGATCCGGAATAAGGCCGAGTTAATCCGGATCAACGCTGCCATCTGTTTAAGCTTTTAGATACCAAAATGAAATAAATTTCCTGATTTGGCTATATTTTTAATTTTATGATTGCAGTCGCTGCGCGTGTCAGCAAAACAGTAAAATTGAAAAAAGTGGCGAGCAATTTTTGTTGGGTTAATCAAAGCCTTGAAATTAAGATTTGCTATTGTCAAGTTAATTAAACTTTCAGCTTCCGCATCTTATGAGAAAAAAGAAGGACGAAAAAAGATGCTTATGAAAAACTTCGGCGAAGTATATTAAGAGTCTTTGACGCTAAAGTTTTTCTATGCGTCTTTTTTCGCCATCAACTTTTGGGCTCGTGCCTTTATTCGTGTCTAGTGACGATATATACATATATATATATTAGGGCGATTTTTTTTTTTGCGACCATAGTTTTTTTTTACTCCTACCTCAAAATTTTGTGGAAAACACCTAAAAAAAGCTCCCTGAAAATTAGAACCCTTAATACATATTAACATTAAGTACTCGCCCAAAGCGTGTACAGATTTCCCATATCAAATACAAGTAAGCTTTGAGTTTTTTTCTTAAAATGTCTACAGCTCCATTGCGGTGTAATCCTAACTCCCACCAGCGAGGTAGTAGGGGTCACTAAACTCAATTTTTTCATAAAATTCTCGTTTTTTTTGCCCCTATCTCGAAAATGACAAGAGCTACAGAAAAAATATAAATGACAAACTTGTGGGACTTTTGATTTCCTACAAAAAACTGTCAGAGGTAGTGTGGAATTTTCAAGGACTATTAAGCTAAATTGTAGAAATTGTTGATCAACTTTTTCGATTAAATTTCGGATCGGATCTAGTGAATATAACAATGATTATTTGGCTCTTAAAAGTTTACTTTTAATGAAATTAATTTTTGAGTCTTATTGTCTACCTCTAATGATAGGCCACACGAATGATTCGTCTGCTGACATCATCGTTTCTACTTGCAGTTTTGTAACTCTATCGTTCGTTTTCGTCTTTCTTTACGACGATAACGTAGAAAAAATATTGTTGCTAGACTAGTTTTAAAATTTTAAAGTAAAGTGAGCATAAGGCCAGTATTAAACAAAAAAAGGACAAAACAACGGTAAATAATGTGTAAACAAAATGTCTACAAAAATATTCCAGCGCTTTTTGTGCCAAGTATTGATTTTTTAAGGAAGGCAGCTTCAACGCGGCCTTACCTGATAGAGGGTTAAGTAATCTTAATCAATGATTGAACTCAATAAAAAACTCAAACTCAAAAATGTTTCGTACAAAATTAAACCAGAGAACGTTTATAAATCGTAAATAAACGTTCTCTGATTTAATCGCAGTTTCCAATGGACTGGTAACTCTGGTCTGTCATTTAACTGTCAAAAATTCTCTCCTGATTTACCTCTCCGGCTCCACGTGTTGTTTACCACACGCAATTAGTTTGTTCTTTATTTAAAAGTTTTAGATATTAAAATAAAAATTTTGTATACCCTTAAACCATGGGACGTAAGGCAGGTTTTGATGAAAAGCCAAAGAAGGGGCCTGGACGCAAGGCACGCAAACAAAAACCTCCCACATTTCCCAAGAAGTCTTTTGGTAAGCCTACATATTTCTAGAGCGTTGTAAATCAGCCATTAACCATTTACTTTCACAGCGCCTATTGATGACAAGGACGATAAGAAACTATCGCATCGTCAAAAGCAGCGTCAAGCGAAGAGGGTCCAAAAGAAAGAGTTGCAGAAATCAAAGCGTCAAAAACTGAAAGCTACTGCAGATCAAGGCTATAATAGCGGTGGTGAAAAACAAAGGCGTAAATACGATAGTGAAAGTAAAGATGAGGCCAGCGAGGGAGAGCATGTAAATGGTTCACCAGACGTTCAGGAAAGTAGTGAAGATGAAGAGGCCCAAAAGGCACAAAAAGTTAACTATCGTGGCAAGGGACCGATAATAAAAGGATTTACAGATGATAATCAGAAATGGCTAAAGCCAAAACAATCAAAGGAAGCAGCTAAGCCAGTCGCGAAGGAAGTCCACAAAAAAGATGAAGCGAGTGATGAAGAAGATGGCGAAGGGATGGAAGTGGATTCCGACGAAGAGCAAGAGGAGGACGATGAAGAGGTGGAAGATGAAGCTGATCAAGATGATGGCGAAGAAGAAGAAAATGAAGATAGTGATAGTGGCAACCTGAAAGTAGGGAAACTAGCCGATATCTCCGACGACGATAATGATGATGCCAACTCAGATGATGACTTTGATGTTTCTGAAGAAGAAGGGGATAATGCAGACGGTTCCGGCAGCGATGACAATGGCGAAGAAGAACCTGATGAAAATGACGAAGAAGATCTTTTACCGATCGAAAAGGCAAATAAAAAACTAAAGAAACGAGAAGCTAAGGAAGCAAAAATGGCCGCAAAAGAAATGCAAATGTCAATTGATCGTCAAGAAGTTTTTACATTCCCGGATGAAAATGACGAAGAACAGAAGGAAATAAGCCTTCAAGAAATTCAGCAACGTATTAAAGATATTACGCTTGTATTATCGGATTTCAATAAATATCGCCAACCAAATCGGTCTCGGACTGAATACTTAGATCTACTGCGACACGATCTCTGTGTTTACTATAGTTATAACGATTTTCTTATGGGAAAGTTGATGGATATGTTCCCATTGACCGAGCTTATGGAATATCTAGAAGCATCAGAGGTAAGTAAAATTTTCAAGTTAATATTTGTACAGCGATCTTTTAACTAATTCTCAATTGTATTATAAACTTAGGTTCCCCGCCCACTTACAATCCGCACAAATTCACTGAAAACTCGTCGTCGTGATTTGGCTGCTGCACTGATCAACCGGGGCGTTAATCTAGATCCCTTGGGAAAGTGGACTAAAGTCGGTTTAGTTGTCTATAGTTCACAAGTGCCGCTTGGTGCAACACCGGAATACTTGGCTGGACAATATATGATACAAGGGGCCTCGTCAATGCTACCAGTAATGGCATTAGCACCACAAGAAAACGAACGTATTTTAGATATGTGTTCAGCTCCCGGTGGCAAAGGCTCGCATATAGCTGCCATTATGAAAAACACTGGTGTTCTCTTTGCAAATGATGCAAATCGTGAACGCATAAAGGCGGTGGTAGCCAACTTCCATCGACTGGGCATAATAAATGCTATCGTTAGCTGTGAAGACGGGAGTAAATTCCGCAACTTAATGACGGGTTTTGATCGCATTCTTTTAGACGCGCCTTGTACGGGTACTGGTGTGGTCTCCAAAGATCCAAGTGTGAAATCAACAAAGGATGCAGTAGATGTGCAACGTTGCTATAATCTGCAGCGCAAGTTGCTGTTAACCGCCATTGATTGCGTTGACGCAAAATCCAAAACAGGTGGGTATATTGTGTACTCAACATGTTCGGTGCTTCCCGAGGAGAACGAATGGGTGGTTGACTATGCGCTTAAGAAACGAAATGTCAAACTAGTGTCAACTGGATTAGATTTTGGAGTTGAAGGTTTCACTAAATATCGTCAGTATCGCTTCCATCCCAGTTTGAATTTGACTCGCCGTTATTATCCGCATACACATAACATGGATGGTTTTTATGTGGCCAAATTCAAAAAGTTCTCAAATACCATACCGGCGACTAAAGCGCAACAGGAAGAAGATGAAAAGGAATTGGATGAAGCAATTCCGAACGCTGCGAAGAAGGTAAATGAAGGAGAGGGCGTTGCTGCCGAGTTGGGAGATGACGAAAATGCGCCCCGCAAACGTGTTGGTAAACGTGCTGGCAAACCAAGCCTTTCGGAAGTTGAGTTGGATTTGAAAAAGAAGAAAATTGCACTAAGCAAGTCTAAATATATTGGAAATGTATTTGAAAAGCCAGTTAAAGTACCCAAGAAAAAGAAAACGGAGGCAACGGAACATTGAATAAATTACGGAATATATGTAGATTTTATGTAAATATCGTTTATTGTAAATTATGCTTTTTAGGATTTTCACTGACTTCCAGCTTAGTTTATTTTTGGCAATAAACAGCGATATAAGGCCAATTATAGTCCCAATAGCTCGCATATTTCCTCGCATTTATTGCATGATTATTTCAAATTGTACTATTTTTTTAAACCTCATAGAAAAGTTTCAGATTCAAGCGATAGACACAAATACAAAGAGATTTGGTCTAATGATTTCATGTTGCAATTAAATTAGCTAGTAAAAGTACAGCATTTAAATTTCTTTCGAATGAAATTTTTCGTCCTTTTTGAAGAGTGAGTGGCAATCAAGGCATGTTGTTAAGTTTTTCCAAAAATTGTATTTTTCCTCGCTTATTGATACATTTTGCAATTATATACCAGATAAGGAGATAAAGAAGATTACCGGCTCTATTCTAGTTTAGGAGATCAAAAGAAGACCGCCGTTAGAAACTTAAGGGAAGTGCTCCTCTACAAATGCAATAAAATATGAAACGAAAAAAAATCTCATGATGCGATGATCAAAAAATTTGGATTTGGTATGCTCTTTGGTAGCTAAAAATATGCTCGAGTGACAAAACTCACTATATATCCACCAGAGCTGTGGCTGTTGAGCTGGTTATCCTGATAACACACTTGACTAAACACTAAAATTACAGCACTTAATCATTTCAGGAAATCGTTCGGAAAAGCATCATAAATTTTTTTTTTTCGAGTAACGGAAAAAATAATCATCAAGTGTACTCTGCGAATTTGCAACCGTGTACTGGCGTTTCCTTCCGAACCCAAGACATTTCATTGACAAGACTAGTGGTGGTAAAACTGTTGTGTCCGGGAGAGCATTTTTTGCATCAAATCTCCAACTCATTTGCTCAATAAACACATCCAACATGAGCACTAAATTTGCTCGACAGAGGGCGCCTAAGATAAGAGCGCTTGTTAGTAATTTCTTGCACCACAATATGGTGCATCCCATGGCGTAATAAACAAAATTCTGAAAAAATTCAAAGACCCGTAGCACTCTGTGTCAGAGAATTTAGAACTTTTTTCATTGCAACTATAATTTATAGGTCCGCCAAAAACCCACAAAAACCCCGAAAAATGCAATGGGGCGACCAATAAAAAATCGTTAGTATTTAAAAATGGTTAAATAGACAATTGAGTATTATTATTGAAAGTCTCGTGAAGAGAACCAGAGTTTTCCGATCGAAAAATATTGACTTTCCAGAATTCTATACCATTTCTACGAAAAAAATTTTTTGATTTCAAAATAAAAATACCCCTATTTACTTCCTCCAAAATATTTCGGAAAAATATTAAGATTTAAGCGAGCTGGACCGATTTGAAAATACCTCCAAAAATGCAATTTGTTATGAATAAAAATAGTTTTTTAAAGATGTTTTTTGAAAGAATCCCCTCAAATGACAAAATGGTTTAAGCTTAAAAAATTTAAATAAATATATAAAAAAATAAAATAAAAAAGAATTTTGAACGGAATCGCAAAGATTGGTATAAGAAAAACTTGAATAACTGAACCTAAACTCTTCCGATTTAGACTTGTGAGGTATCATTGGAAAGGTATTTTCTCTCCCTTTTTATTTCTTTTCTAATAAACTCATTCAAAGAATGAAAGAGAAAGGTAGTATGAACGAACATCATTCAAAGTTGAATTAAGATGTGTTGGTATTTAAAAAAAAAAAACAAAAACAAATTGGAACACGAATGATTTTTTCTTGCACATAAATAAAAATAGTGGGAAAATACCTTTCTACTGAGATCCCATAAGTTTAAATCAGAATAGTTTTGGCCCTGTTATTTAAGTTTTTCGTAAATCAATCTTTGAAAAAAGTAAAAATAAACAGCATCAAAAATCTCATTATTGCGATTCCGTTGAAAAGATTTTTAAAAATTTGTATCCAGATTTTTTAAGCCTAATCTGTTTTGTATTTTGGTGGACGTCTTAAAATATAATAAAATTTGTAATCCCGGAGGAAAAACCGCAACTTTTTCATATATATGTTGATTATGCTTTTGATTGCTTATCTCACCAACAGATAATTGATAATCCACCTATTGGTGTGATCACCAGGAAATCGTGGGATAGGTTTAATAATAATAATAATAATAATAGATTGGCGCTTACACATATCGAGCCCTAACCGCCAAAATAACGTAAGCGAATTTTTTTTCAAAATTTTCTTTTTGATGCAGAAATATTCCTAGAGCATCTAGATACATTTCTGCATCAAAAAGAAAATTTTGAAAAAAATGTCGCTTACGTTATTTTGGCGGTTAGGGCTCGATATGTTACTGTTAGTGTTTGGCCGAGTTTGGGATAGGTTTACAAACTTGAAAAAGACTCTATAGCGACAGATCTGCTCTTAAGGGGGAAAACAGTGCTCCAGCTACTTTTGCTTAGCTCTATTAAAAGAAAAAAAGTTAAGATTTAAATCTAGTATATAAACTGCTGTTTTTTTGTTTAGTTAAATTTATTTAAATCAGTTATTTAATAATTGTTCGTTTCGTGTTACTTCATTTACATATACATACATATATTTCTATGCACTATATATTTCTTTTTCTTGTATAAATATGCACATAATTACATAAAGATTATAATTCCTAATACTACGTTCATACAAGCTATACATCTTTAGTTATTTTACATTTCAAATTATTTATTGTAATTTTATTCATCTAATTAACAATAATTATAACTACATACACTCATATGTACATACATATACTGTATGTCTATTTTATTTTGGGTGCTTTTGATATAAATATTTAAAAGAATACTAGAATAAATTTCATAGAAAATGTTTGGAAATTAATGAGTCTTTTGCCGCGCTGGAATGTATTGTAGTACAAATGTGTATGTATTCTGTGGGTATGTAAAATTATAAAACATGTTCACATGTGGTTAAATAGATTCAACTTTAAACACTTTTATTTGGCTACGCTTTTTCGTTCGTGTTCTATGGTGTACATATACTATTCATATTTATGTTATTGGTAAAAAAATGCCTATATTAAACATTGTATTAATTCTTTGTTGTGTGTGGTTTTTGTTATTATTTTGTTGTTGTTTTTACCCTGTTCGAATTACTAATCGCTATTTTGTAAAATATTACAGTTTCTTAATTAGTTTTTTTTTACTTTTTTGTAATATGTACGCAATTTTTCTCATGTTTCAAGTATACAAAATTTGTTATATACACAGGCAATATGTAATAGAGATGTATGTACATTACAGTATCGTGTTCTTAATTGAACCACATTTTGTTACAAATACACACGTAATGTTCCAATTACTCCCAGAATCAAGTTTATATTTTATGCGATATTTTATATTCGCAAATTGGCGTTGTTGGTATTATTTAACTTATGGAAGTTGGGTTTGCAATTAAGCACATTATACTGTACTTGTATTTGTGTGAATTTATTGAGATGCTTCGATTTTTAAATGTTTTACTATGGATATTTATTATTTTATAATAAACCTGTTTAAAATTTAGATTTTGTAAATTCCGTTGTTCTATTTATTTTTGCAGTTGTCGACTTTTTCTAGTTCGCTTTTTTTTATCTTAAAATCATTGAATAGTTATTTTTGTACATTTGGGATTTTAAATTGAGCGTATACACTTTTTTTTTGTTTTCAACAACTTTTTGTGAATTTACATATTCTGCTTAGTGTAGTAGAGTGCATCTCAGATTAACCAAAAATTTTTTTGTTAAGAAAATTATAATTAAAATTCATATTCAGGAAATAAAATAAAGTTAGAGCAAGTAGTAAACCAAAATCCAAATAAAAAAATTCAATACAAAAATGCAAGTAAATGCTAAGCAAAAAATAAAACTGACTTCAATTTTCATACACAAATTCAAGATTATCGTTGATTTCTTCATGATCCGATGATCGGATTTAAACCAAATTAGTATGGGACCACCTATGAGGTAACATCTTTCCTTAAAAAAAAAAAGTTATGCGGTATCATATGCCCATAAAAAAAAATTTCCGACGAATTGATAACTTTTTCCTTTTTGTGAAGTCGGTTAAAATAGAATAGAAAAACAATAAAACTTAGGGATGGAAAATTTCAAATTGTGTTAAACTGGAATTTGCGTTGCAGTTAAGTTTTTGGAAAAATGCACTTTTTTATATTTCTTTTAAGTAAAACTGTGCATTCCTTGTGCGAGTATTAAGTTCCCATATTAATTTAAACCCGATAAACTAACTAATCGATAAACTAACTAATCGAATCAGTCGCGTACTAGGCTAGGATTGACAAAAAAATGGGCTGCCCCTAACATTATTTGAAAGGCCGTTCACACCAGGCGACTATTGCTTTCAACTCAAAGTTGCCTGGAAAATCGCCTCATGTAAGTTGGATAAATCAATGTAATTTTTTCTGGAATCTTCTGGAAATTTATGATATCTTACACTTTTTTGGGGGTCGAGGAATTAATTTTTAGATGTTTACGAAAGTTTTGAAAAACTGACTGAGTTACTAAAAAGTTTAAGAACTATGTTTTATTGCTTCCAATTTTCGGGGCATTTTCTTTATTAGTTAGCCGTGTATGTTTTATAAGGGTTTCTATTTTGATTGTGCACAAAGTTTTTTTTCCCTATGTACAACTTTATAAATTTATAGAAAGCTTAAAAAGGCTATGTGAATTATAGCCAGGTCCGTCTAGAGGGATGGGGGTTTCCCCCGTGCCCGGATTTTCAAAGCGGCCCGCATTTTTCTGAAAATTAAGTAGGAAAATAAAAATTTTAATATTTTCCAAACCTGATAAATTTTATTATTTAACTTTCACATAAATAGTTACGTTTTTAAATTAAAGAAGCATTTTGACTTAAACAAGAAAACCTACTTTGCGTATTCCATTAACCTGCGTAGCAAAAACAATTCTCTTTAGACGAAGTTTTTTAACGAGTGAAAACGTTGGAAATTCGTTTAAAAAGGAAACCTTATTTTGTGAGGGTCCGGGCAGATATTTACTCCCGGGCTGATTATAGCTTTCACTCATTGAGGATAAAAAGTTCAAACGGAAAAGAAGGTAGATAAAACCAAAGGTAGATAAACAAGTTTGGTTTTTATCGAGGCAAC